TTATGTGAATATCAAATCCCAAAGAAAACAAACGAAATGCAAATTCCCTAAAATCAAAACCAAATCCAAGTTCTTACTTCTTTCTCTAAAGTCCTATAGTAGGACCTGTGAGGGAAATAGGAGGAGACTTCAAAAAATTCATGAAAATGGAATTAAGGTATGAATTTATTTTGGTACAAAAATAAATAAATAAAATCCATACACACTTTTTCTTAGCACATATTTTCCCATGAACTTTTGGAAGACTATTCAATTTTTGAGGTACATTTCTTGGTCCTCAAGGACCTGATAGCGTCGTGAAGAGAAGCTATTTACACATCCACAATCTCTAACATAAGGAATTCCGTGCCAAGACTGAATTCAAAGGTGGAGTGATCAGGAAAAGGTTCACTGTGTGACAAGTAGTTGAACTTACACTTAAAGAAGTTGAAACATGGAAACATAGAGAGTGTATAAAAGCATAGTAGGATACAAAATAAAATGTTAAACAGAAGCAAAGTCTGAAACAATCCATGGATTCAACTGTGAACAGGAAAAAGAAAAAGAATAAGAGAAAGCAAAGGCTATTATACTTTATTTCCAACTGAAGCTACTGAATACTTTTCAATCCTGAGATAATTTGAGTTGGAACAATAACATGTAATACTCAGGAGCTTAAAAGATGGAGAATTTGGGGCCTGCAGATGACATGGTGGTTAAGGGTGCTGGACTCTCACATGCCTGACTGCGATTTGAGTCCTGGACCTGGTGGCTTGCTTTCTCACTTTCTCTCTTTCTCACTCTGATCAAATTAAAATAAATAAATAGATAAATAAATTAAGTAAAATAATCTTTTAAAATAAAAAAAAAATAACATTGGAGAAGTTAATTGATGGAACAATAACATGTAATACTCAGGAGCTTAAAAGATGGAGAATTTGGGGCCTGCAGATGACATGGTGGTTAAGGGTGCTGGACTCTCACATGCCTGACTGCGATTTGAGTCCTGGACCTGGTGGCTTGCTTTCTCACTTTCTCTCTTTCTCACTCTGATCAAATTAAAATAAATAAATAGATAAATAAATTAAGTAAAATAATCTTTTAAAATAAAAAAAAAATAACATTGGAGAAGTTAATTGAGAGTAGGAGGGGAAAGGATGCCATGAATATGTATGTATAACACTGACCTCTTCCATTTCAAAGGACTCTAGTCCTTTACCCGCAAGATGAGACAAGTTCAGAAACTTGATAGTCTGAAATGAGTTCTCCTTCTGAGTTCTGTTCTTGCTTGTTCCCTCGGACACACAGAAAGGAGAAGCCTGCTTTGCCAGCATGGATGAGCAACGCCACTGTTTGCCTAGAAGAGTTTGGGGAGGACAACAAGCTATCAAATCATCATGGGCTTGGAGAGAGTGGTGCTCTGCCAAAGGAGACAGATGATGTTCAATGTGGTTGGTTGCTTCTCCTGGCAACTCTGCTCCACACTCCCCTAGTCTGGCAGATGCGATGAAAGATTCCTCCATCATCTTTGAGGACTCTGATTCTGGATTACAATCCCTCCTGATGTCCTGTTTCGAAGCTTTTCTTAAGAGCTTACCCATTCTTCTTCTATACTCTTTAGCCCCACTCACTCCTTTTTGCACACTGTCTCCTCCAGTTTTCTCTTCAGTTATGTTCTGTAGGATGTTAACATCATGCAGCAAAGATGAGAACGCATTGGTCACGTGATCTAGGATTTCCAGCTGTCGGAATCGGCCTGAACACAAGCAATAGATTTTTAGACTGAATCTTTCTGATGAAATTTTTAATATAGTAAAAACTAAAGAGTTAATTAACCTGTGATTTTTCAAGATAGGAAGGATATTAAACTTGTGAAACTCAAGTATTTCTCAGTACATGCCATTGCTATTATAGATACAATTCCTCTACATACAAGATATCCCTGTGTTAAGAGGAAAGTGAATACTTATTATTCTTTGAACAATAAAATGTAATACTCAGGGGCATAACTGTAAAGATTCATGGATGTCTGTGTGTTAATCCATTAAAAACTATAAACATGGGTGGGTCTTATGTGCACTAAACGAAATATAGAAGTGTGAATCTGGTTCTAGCAATATAAGGTGAGCTGATAATTCTTCTGCAGTTTCATGTATCTCATCATCACCTCCATCATGTCCTTCTGCATTGCTACCTGAGAGTATGGAAAGATCATAGCAGATGGAGTCAGAAGGCCTGGATCCAAACCCCAGATCAACCAATCACTGAAAGTTTGACCTCAGAGTCAATGAATTAATACATATACTTAGTGTTTAGTTGTGTAGGTAGCACATTGTACATGGTCACTTTCTTAGCTAGATAATAGTACTTGTCTTATGTGTCTTTCACATTTGTTATGAGCATCAGTGCAAAATTATACAATCAAAATAACAATATGCACAAATGTGGAAATCTTGGAAAGAGAAAATACACTGTCCTCAGTCTTTCAAGAGAAGATAGTTATTAATGAGAAAGCACATTTGCCCTTTGAAACAAACCACCTCCTCAACCTGTAAGTCTTTCTGGATGATATGACCTCAATCCTTTAGGTAACATGAAGTATGGCTTAATTAACATATTTGAGAAACCTAATGAAGCATAACTTAATTTGGGGTCAATTTGTCAGTTTAGAAAAACATAGTGAAAAATATTTCTTGATACTTTAAGATAAAACCATAGTAATGGAAACAGCAGTCTTCTCTTGGCCTCAGTGATGGCATGAAGGGTAGTATAACTCAGCAAAGTTCAAGGACTGCATTGATAGGCAAGAATGGTTTTCTCTGTGGTGTTGTTTGCACAACTAAGCAATGCACTGTGAGCATATTTTTATATCTACTTGTTTCTTTCACCTAGAAAAACCCACATTGACTAATCATCCTTCTACTCCAAAAAACATGATGGATTTCTCATAGAAGACTGTAACATTCTTTCAAGACCTATAGGAACTCTTGGGTTCTGGATGTTTTAGAATAATTCCAATTACATTCGCCCTACTAAATTAAGCTTTAGTTGAAACTAAATCTTTTTTGTGAGCCAGAGGGTATAATTGAATCATAATTTAGCTTTTATGATTATCTTACATCCATTTCATAGCAGGTTTTTATACTTAGACTAAGACAAAACCCATCAATTTAATTGGTTCAGTCAATTCAAAGAACACAATAGTCTGAAGTGTTGGATGAATGTTTGCTTTTAGTTTTGCCTTTGGGTAGATTGAACAATGGACTAATTGATTTTCATTCCCGAAGTTTGAACCTTTTGTATTGGCTTTGAATGAGACATGATTTGCTATTCCATCTTTTGAACAGCAAACAAATTTGATTATTTCTTGTTTCTCATCTATCCTTCTGTTTTTCTGAATCAAAACTGATTGGACCAGCAGGTGGCATGGAAGTGAACGCGGCTAGATCCCACATAGAAGACTCAGAGAATTGTGTCGGGACCTGGCTGCTTGAAAGTCATGCTGGATGCATGTGCACATGTGCCAAAACCCCATAAGGAGAATGGAAAAGGGATTATGGTGTGACCATGCCTCCTGGGAGGCGATTCTTACTTTCCCTCTGTCTCTGTCTCTCTGACAAGTACATACACCCTATAGCAAAAATTTAAAACAAATTCTGTCAGTTAGTGTTAAATAATGGACATGAAAAAGAGCTGGAGATCACATAATTAGGGGCTGAATACAAATTCCTCTGAAATCTGTGTGTCCATTTTATTTGTAAAATGTTTACTTCACCATCAACTCAAACACTACTCAAATATTAGTGTTACTGTTCTCCTCAAATAAAGAATTGAACAAAGAACAAGTATCTATCTCTGTGCTGCTTGGAAGACTCTTCAACAAAGAACAATATTAATTGCTTCTGGAAAGTGAAGAAATATTGCACTCCAACACCTTCAGATTTATATACATGACACTGCAACACCTTTAGGTTTACAAGCTCTTTACTAAAAATATGCTCTTTACAAAAAAAAAAAAAAAAAAAAACCAGCATTGCTGAAATTTTGGGGCTCATTTCACACACATGAAAATAAGAGAAACAGAAACTAAAATGAAAAATACAAATGAGGTCTCTGTTTCAGATAATTATTTGAGAGAAACTCATTGTCTCACTTGAGTTTCCTTTCAGCAAATTAATTTATTTCAAATATTTTATTTCAGAGCCAGTAGATGGTATAATGGTTAAGGTGCTGGACTTCCACATAGCTGACCATGGTTTGAGGCCTGGATCCTGTAGCTTGAAACTCACAGTGGGCATTGTATGTGTGCCCAACATTCTAAGTGGAGAATGGGGAAAAGAGGATTATGGTGTGATCATTCCCCCTGAAGGAGTGATCTCTCATTTTCTATCTCTCTGTGTGTCTGATGAGCACATGAAACCTGAACTAAAAAAAATTTCTCTCTTAAAAATATACATATATATATATATATACACACACACACACACACACACACATATATAAATAAACGAACAATTTATTTCATAAACAGAATTTTGTCATTTTCCCCATCCAGAATTCCTCAAACTCTGTTCCATGGAAGAGATGTTCTTGGATACTTATCCAGGAGGGGTTGTATATTTAAATGATTTTGAGAAGGCTGCACAGCATTCTGTATTGGAGACTAGAAGTGCACCTCAGCATACTGAATAAATCTGGTAGCAAATAAACTAATTTGACAGCATCTTTTCCCCAGATTATTTGGGCACAATACACATACCCCAAGGACATCCTTAGTATGAGAGTACCTTGTTTAATTGTGCTTTGCTTTACTGTACTTCACAGATAGCGTGTTTAACATTTTTTTAAGAATTATTCTGTTTAACTTTATTTATTTATTCATTTATTTCATTTCAATTTGAGCAGAGAGAAAGAGACAGAGAGTGATAAAGCAAGCCACCAGGTCTAGCACTCAAACTGTGGTCGGCCATGTGGGAGTCCAGTGCTCATAACCACCACACCACCTGATGGCCCCTTATAGATATTCTTTTTTTAAAATTTTTAATAAATTGAGAATTTCTGGCTTCTCTGTGCTGAAAGTCTACCAATGCCATTTTTTCCAAGAGCATGTGCTTACTTCAAGGTCTCAGAGTCACACTGTGATTATTTTTGCAATATTTTAAACTTTTCTGTTGTTATTTTATTTGTTCTGGTGATCTGTGGTTAGTAATCTTTGATATTGCTATTGTAATTGTTTTGAAGCAACTGTGAGCTGTGCCCACATAAAACATTAACTTCATAAGTATTATGTGTACTCTTATGCCATTCACTAGCTGTTTTCTTGTCTCTCTGCATTTCCGTGGGCATCATTTATTTCCTGAGACACACAATATTGAAATTAAACCAATTAATAGCCTGCCTTTCAGCCTTTCTCAGCCCTTTGAGCTTTAGTGGAAGAAAGAGTTTCATGTTTCTCACTTTATTTATTTATTTATTTATTTATTTATTTATTTATTTGGAGAGGTTTTTTCACTATAGGGCACGTGCGCTCGCCAGACAGACAGAGAGAGACATAGAGACAGAAAGCGAGAAATCACCCCCCAGGGAGGATGGTCACGCCGCAATCCCTTCTCCTCCATTCTCCTCTCGGGATCTTGGGCACACACTCACATGCGCCCGGCGTGAGTTTTAAGCCACTGGGTCCGGGACGCGAACCACGGTCGACTATGTGGGAGTCCAGGAACATAGCCATTACGCTAACTGCTGGTTCCCTATGTTTCTTACTTTAAATCAAAAGCTAGAAATAATAAGCTTAGTGAGGAAGGCTTATACAAGACCAAAAAAGGCCAAGCTGTGGATACAAAGGAAAAGTTCTCGAAGGAAATTAAAAGTGCTCTTCCAGTCAACACATGAATGAGCAAAAAGATAAATGGCCTATTGCTGATATGAAGAAAGCTTTAGTGCTCTGGATGGATCAGACCACCCACAACCTTCCCTTAAGTCAGAGTCTAATCCAGAGCAAGACATAACTCTCTTCACTCCTATGAAGGCTGAGAGACATGAGGATGCTGCAGAAGAAAAGTTTTCATCTAGCAGAGGTTGCTGAATGAAGTTTCAAGAATGAAGGCATCTCCGTAACATCAAAGTTCAAGGTAAAGCAGCAAATGCTGATGTAGAAGCTACAGCAAAGTTATCCAGAAGATTTAGATAAAATAACTAACGAAGGTGGTTACACTTAAACAACAAATTTTCTACATAGATGAAGCAGTCTTATGTTGGAAAAAAATGTCATTTAGTATTTTTTACACCTAGAGAGTATTTTTAAATACTTTCTACAACAGATGAATTTAAATTAAGCTACATACTTTGTTTTGTAAGACATAATGCTAGGACATTCTTAATAAACTATGGTATAATGTAAAGATAATTTTTACATGCATTGGGAACCAAAATATTTGTGTGACTGGTTTTATTGCTGTATATGCTTTATTGTAGTGGTCTGGAATGGAATCTGCAATATTTCCAAAACATTTCTGTAATGTTCTAGAGAAAAGTCTTTCACTGACCACCATTTAGGACAAATATAGCAGCATGCATGATAACTCGAAGGGTTAAGCATAGCCCTTAGATCTGCAGGTAGAACAGACTAATAGCTACCACCTACAGCACCAAGTATAAGCTATAGTTGTTCTAAGCCTTATAGATGAGACAATTAAGGTTTCACCTAATGATTCATAATAAACTTTGTCGGATCCTGGTTTTTCTGTCTCCTGGGTATATGGATATTATATATA